CGTTCGACATCAGGATGAAGAGGAGAGGGGAAATCGGGTCCCCTTGTCGAATGCCTCGCGAGGGTGTGAAAGCTTCTGAAGGCTCGCCATTAAAGAGGAGACTAAAGGAAACAGTAGAGATGCAGGTGTGAATCCAGCTGCACCAGGCCTCATTAAAACCATACGCTCGAAGGAGGTTGATCAAAAGGTCCCACTCGACCAAATCATAGGCCTTTCTCATATCTAGCTTCATCATCATTTCTCTCCTGTTGCTAGATTTATTTTTCTTGAACTGGTTGAGAACTTCATGTACAATTATGATGTTGTCCTGGATCTGCCTCCCTCCTGTGAAGGCTGACTGGAGCTTGTTAACCAAGTTCGGAAGCCAGGGCTGGAGACGGTTGGACAGAATTTTTGTAATGACTTTGTACCTGAAATTGCAACAACTGATTGGCCGAAATTGGCCGATCAGTTCCGGGGCATCAACCTTAGGAATTATGGTGATAAAAGTATCGTTCCAGCCTGTAGGCATCACTCCTGAGGTGAAGAACTCAGAAATTTCTTGGCAAAAGACATCATCAATAGAATTCCAGAACTTCATGAAGAAAATTCCTGGGAATCCATCCGGTCCCGGTGATTTATTAGCCCCAAGTTGAAAGACAGCCCTCCGGATCTCACTCTTTTCAATGGGAGCACTAAGACTAAGGTTCATTTCTTCAGTAACAAGGCAAGGGAATCCTGCCAGAAGGTCCGGGCTTGCCTGTCTATTATTGCTGCTGAACAGCTCATGGTAGAAGGTGTTAGCATGGGCTTCCAACTCAATCGCATTGGTAATCCAGTTACTGGCTGAGTCCTTCAGTTTCAGGATTCTGTTCCGATTCTTTCTTCTTATAGTGCTTGTATGGAAAAAGCCAGAATTCTGGTCCCCTTCCTGAAGCCATGATATTCTTGATCTCTGAGCCCAGAAAGATTCCTCTTCATTCCATAAGTGTTCCAGTTCATTGTGTAGGTTCCTCTCCTCTGTTACAACCATTGGGGATCTGAAAATCCCCTGGATAGCTTGGATTCTACTCCTGATTTCCTTTTCTCTTCTCAGTTTGGCTATTCTGTCATTCCTGGCCCAGACTTGCAAGTCATTTTTACAATTGCTCAGCCTGTCGCCCATGCTTCCCCCTTCCTGCCATCGGCTAAGGACAATATCATAACATTCCTCGCTCTCCCTCCATCTCTTGTCAAATCTGAAGGGGGTACAGCGGGTTTGTCTTCTAGGATGCAGATCGATTCTTATCGGGCAGTGGTCAGATTCCACGAATTCCTCATGTGATACAGTTGCAGCTTCAAATTCAGTTCTCCAAGATGTCGAGCAAAGTGCTCTGTCGAGTCTCTCTCTGATCTGGTCATCTCCTTGTTGCTTGTTACTCCAAGTAAATACTGGGCTAGAGAAGCCTAGGTCAATCAGGGAGTTCCGAGCAATAAAGTACTTGAAGGGGGCTACATTATCATTTCTTAACGGACAGCGTCCCTGCTTCTCGAAGGGGAACATTGCAACATTGAGGTCACCTACAACAACCCATTTGTCATCCACATCTGCCCTTAGGGTCGTAAGTCGATCCCATAGGGCCCTTCTCTCTACCGCCGAGGTAGGAGCGTGAACAAAAGTGCAGAAAAATTTCACTCCATTCTGCCTAATACTAGTGTCCATAAAGGACTTACAAGACTCCAAAACAACGACATCCACATCTTCCTTCCACCATAAAGCGAGTCCACTACCTTCCCTTCGCGGGCCAACATACTCGGAAAACTCGAACTTCATTGCTCTCTTCCTTTCTTCCATGAATGAGTCCTCTTTCTTGATTTCCATAAGAAAAAACACAGACGGGCCATATTGCCGGCAGAGCCTACCACAGTAGCTCTTTGTAAGGGGTTGGCCGAACCCCCTACAATTCCAGCTTAATATCCTCATTCTTGGAAAGGCGGCTTCAGGCTTGCCGCCATCGCCCTCGAAGTGGCCGATTCACTTTCTCCGGATTGGCATCCTTCCGCTGTTAGCTCAGCCAGACTTTTCTTCCTGATTATGTGCTTCCTTCTTTGATAAGTCTTCCTGTTCTCACCTGGGGCAAAAGACAGACAGTCAAAAGATAGGTTAGATGGAGCATCTTGTTGACTCATTGGGCTGGTTTGGCTTTGTCTGTGCTCTGGCTTTCTCTTCTTCTCGGGCCTGGCCTCTTCCTCCTGTTGTGCAGCGACAATGGGCTCCATGGGCTGTTCAAGGTTCTGGGCCTGGGGGAACACCTGGGCTTGTTGATCCGCTATGAGGGGGGATAGGGAGCCTTCAGTGGCAATGTAGGATGGGCTATCCAAGGTAAGAGATTGGCCCATCTCATACAGGCCCGCCAGGTTTTGCTTTTCTGTGTTACCCACATTCCCACTGAGGTCGAGGCTCTTCTGCATAGCCCTTGTCGCCTTCTCCATCTCCATTTCCAGAAATGCATTTTGCAGGGTAGTTGTCGGGTTGACCTCCTCTCCTCTGAAGTTCCAGTCTACCCCTCTACCCGAGACAGGTAAGAGTGCGTACCCAGGGGGTATGGGAAGGGACCCTGCAACGGGAGGCCCGCTAGGGTGATTTGGGACGATTCGCCTCGAGATCCGCGGATCTGTTTGGTGGCAGGGTTCTGCTGTGTCAGGCGGCGTGATGCAGCCTGCTTCTCCATGAAGGAGGCCGGGGGGATGTTCGCCGGCGAATCGTGCCCGGACCTGAGCACGTCGGTGTAAACCTCCGAAGGGTCAGTGCTCAGTCCCCTCCTTCTATGCTCCTCCTTCTCCGTACAATTGTAGATCAGGTGACCCAGCCGCCCACAGAAGTAGCATAAGTCCATGATCCTCTCATACTTGAAACTGACCCATATTGATTGGTTCCCTACTGGGTACTCGAAACCAATAGAGATCGGCTCGTCGATGCTGACTTCCACCTTGACCCTAATGAACTTCAGCCAGCCCCTGAAGTCAAAGTTGGACCTGTCGATGCAGTGGAACTGGGGAAAGATGAAGGCTGCGACCGCTTGAACGGCTTCCTCATCCTTCAGAGACTGCGGGAGGTCATGCATTTGGACCCAGAGTGTCACCGTTGGGATGTCGGTCGTCTCTGCCTTCTGTTCTCCATCCCACTTCTTGAGGGCGATGAGGGTGTTGCTCAGATTCCATGGACGAGCCTCCCACACAGCATCTCTTTGTTTCTCTGACTGGAAAGAATACACGAACAGATTGTCCGCCTCCTTCGTAACTTGGACTTCGCCATAAGCCCACCACTTGTTGACTGCTGCATGTTTGGCTTTGGGCAGATTGATGCTTGCATCCGTAATCCATTTGCCCAACAGCATGGCCATGCCACTCCCTCGAGCTCCTATAACCGTGGGGCGAACATTGAGGACCAGATGGCTTCGCTCCCCTCTCAGGCCTTTGGGTTGTATTTCCATATTATCTTGGTTTTGCTGGGTGTTGGGTATCGTGGGTTTGGTAATTTTTGACAGTAGACTGAGCTTGGTATTTCTGTCGGTTGTGATCTTTGTTGTTGAGTGAGATGGTGACTTCTGCTCCGGGCACTCTTCCCATTTATAGTGCAATGGTTGCTGCGGTGGTTGAGGGTTGGGAACCATAGGAGCATTAAATAGATAAGGTATTGAATGCCCTCCCCTGCGCGTCTCTCCGATCCCCTTCTCTGATTGGTAATCTTGAATATGCCATTTATGGTCGCAGCTAGTAGGCCGGCTATCTCCCCTGAAGGTAGCCATCCCATCCCTCTAAGATTTTCTTCTAGATGGCGATCTCCAGTTGTAGACAGAGCATTTAATCCCCACTTGAGACTTCTCTGCGTATCTGTATTGCTGGTGTAGGTTCTGTTGGTGGCTAATGATTGACGTGTGCTTTCCTTTTCTCTCTGCCTCAGGTGGGATTTGGCAGTAAATTCTCTTTGCCTCCCTGGCCTCTTGATCTTCTACCGGGTGTGTGGAATAAATTTTTGCTTCCCTTTCTGTCCAACCTTTAAAGCCCAGATCTCCCAAATCCGCAGTAGAGTAACTCCTCTGCTCTGTAGTTGACTTCTTCTCAGGTGGCTTGGGCGGCGGGGTTGTTGATTCATTGGGTTTCTGCTCTGGGGTACCCCTGCTCTCATTGGTTCTGGGTGCCGGCAGGGGTTGCTCTTCTTCATTCTGGCGTATGACTGCCAATTCCACTTTAGGCTCTTCTGATAACCTCTTAAATGAGTTGCAGATAATACTATGGTTGATGTTGATTGCTCCATTAATGGCCGCTGCAGGGGTTCTTCGGCTAAAGGCTCTAGAACCAGGGAAGGGAGGACGAGAAGAGGTTGGGAGAGGAAGAGGATAGAGATGGAGTGTACTTACTTCCAACTTCCAAGAGCTGTTGGGGGCTGTTGGGAGCTGTTTGAATATGTGGAGCATGCAGCTGGGTACAAGAACAGTGTGGCAGCCTCCTTGGTGAAAGTTAAGTATTGGAATCCCTTATTTTGTAGCAGGGTTATAGGTATAATATGTCCCTCTATTATTACATTTTATCAAACATGCCTCTCTACTATTTCTTACATCAAACATACTCCTATATTTTAGAAAAATTATCAAACATGTCCTTCTGTTGAAATTTTCATCCAAAAATCGTTAACCACGACCAAATTTTGGTTTGGGCAACACAAATGTCTAAAATATTCATAATAATTTCACTTTAGATTTTTTTGGTTCTTTTGTATAGCCAAATAATTCTAGTAATTTCACTTTGACGAGACCCAGAAAAATAAAACAGGGTTCAAAACTTACATGGTCCCTCCCATTTGTCGATGTCTGGTCTTCTAAATCTCGGTTCAACCATGATTGACGATTTTTCAATGAAAATTTCAATAGAGCAGGAGCATGTTTGATGTAAAAAATAGTAGAAGGGTATGTTTGACAAAACGTCATAATAATAGAGAGGCATATTATACCAATAAGTCAATAACGGTAACCAATATTGATGTTGGATATGATTTCTGGACAAGCTTGGTATACGGGTATGGCTGGTGATTGTTCAGGCTAGACACTTTTTACAAATTTAATAGAGGAAAGAGATTGAATTATGTAGTAGCAATGCACAATGAGGTCCCTCGAAAAAACATCTACCAAATGAAACAGTTCCAGAAATTACAAACATATCCGAAAGACAACATGAGGAAACCCGAATCAACATATTCGCTGAATAACTCTGATGCATATGATTTATATCCGTCTATGTCGAATATGATTTGCCTGATTCCTCATTGAAATTCAAGCTTTCGTAACAGCACCATGAAAAATATTGAGAGCTCTCGTTGGTGCAATCAATGTGCCGGGGTGTGAAGGACCTACCTACAAAATTGAATGACATATCTCCACAAGAGTTTCTTTCATCCAACTGCTGGTTCCAGATTATCATAGATCAGCTTCGACAGTATATCGACCCAAGTGTCTGGGACGCCAGGCAGACACCAATGCATGCAGTCCTGACCCCAAACTGCCACAGCGTCTTTCTTCCCAAGCCAAATCGCTGGGTGGGCATCCGCTCGGAACTCACTCAGATGTGTCAAATCCAGCAACTTTATGTCCCTGCCTTCCAGTGTATCCTCGATTACCCGATTGATTTGTCTTGCTTCCCGGTTCACTCCATTCCTTTCGGGGTTAAACCAAGTATCAAGCTGCAAAAACCGTATCAAACAAGGAGATAACAAAGATGAGCATCATTTTTCTTTTACAAGTAATGATGAGTATAAGTATGGTTTCAAGCTAACAATTTCATGGAGGGATATAGCACATTAATTAATGGTATAACCTCATTCTCCCTGAGGGGTTTGGTGAACAAGCAACTTCCATTCTGATTCCATTCACCGCCATAAAAATGCCTCGGCGATTGTAGGCGCCAAAACTTGACCGTCTTCTTTGGAACTTGTTGTTCAATATACGAAACCATGTTCTCGAGAACAATCTTCAGCCCGTCAACCAACCCAAGAGGGGGATACACTGGTTGCCCTCCACGGTAAAAAACAAGAGGTGCCTCCTTTGGGAATTTAGCATAACTCCACCTGCACAAAGTCCAGGTAGGCCAAAGAGTAGTATCACCACATTGTTGACCTTGTTAAGAAAAAAACAGTTCAATTTGAACAAATTTATGTCTTCAGTATTAGATATGCATTCTAACAAAAGTGTTCCTTTGATACATCAATGAGCGCCAGGACGTGAATAAGAAGGAAAAAGAACTCCAGGAACATACAAAAATATGGGAGGGGCACCTAAAGCAATACAAAGAGATACTACCATTGCATCGCTAATATGTTTGTGAATTCCAGTCAAGAGTGAAGGAATTACCAATGTCCTGTGTTGAAAATGAGGACGTCATAAAAGCTAGTAATGTTGGCCCACTCGTCCCCGGGTACATCAATGTCTACTCGATGAGTTCCCTTCACTCCCTCATTGGTCAGATGCATACCCTTTTGGCTGCCACCTTAAATGGATCAGATATGAGCAAGTGATGACATCAAATTTTGCAAAGCTCAGTACACAGGGGCAACTGAACACGAACTGCTACAAATGGGGATGGCTTAAAGAAAAAACACAAACTGCTCCCATTTGTCCAATCTAAATAATTTCAAGATAGAAAACCAGTGAAAACGAACACCAGTAGAGATAGGTAACAATTTCACTGAAGAATGAGAGCACTGGTAATTACTACACCACCACATTGTCCGAAGTCTATGTGTGAGACAAGTAACTTGCTCACTAAGCCAATAACTTTCAATCCCTCCATTCTCAAACCAATATGCTTCTCTTCGTATTAACGCTGCTGAGCGCCTAAATAATATCGACATGAGTTTACTTCCCACTGCTTCAACCGTTAAATCAATCAGTTGCATCATTCGTTCACTCCACCAGATATAATGTAATGAAGTTGAACAGTGGCATCAGCGAACCAATAGGTTGATCATGCAGCAAAACTGGGAAGTTTCTCCTTTCTAATGGTTTGCCTACATGTACCACACGCTAAATACCCCAAATTGGTGCAAATTACTTCACAAGAAGAAGTGTTTGCCATCTGGAATTTTTTCTGACTGTAAAAATTGCACTGTAGTGTCCAAACTAGCATCGTGAACCTAGACAAGCAAAAAGGCAACACAGCAGCAGTTCTCAGGAAACTCAGAACCAAATGCAAAAGGAAGTGGGAACTCACTTAAATTTAGCAAGCAGCACTGAACGGTGATAGGCAACAACGACGTTGAACTTGGGGAAATAAGCACCGCGCCATGCCCCCTTCTTCTTCCACTTCCTAGCGCCATTATCAGCCACTCTAAGAATACACAGAAATGAGACCAGAAAGTTCTCATTCAACGAATCCCCAATAAACCCAATCTTCTTATTCCTCATGAAACCCAGAAACCTCTCCGGATCGATCCGAGGCAATTCGCAATCTTGAGGCACCCATTGCCAGGAACTGATGAGATCCATGTTCTCTCGGTTGTTCCTAATGCAGTTCCAGGCGTTTCTGTGGAAAGGGCAGGAGTCATCGTAGAAAGGTCTCGGGCGGTCGGAGGGCAGAACCCAGCTCCCGTTGAAGAGATTGCAGGACTGCGATGATGAAAGATGCGAAGCGGAGTTGGAAGCAGAAGATGGCAACGAGTAAGGACTGAGAGCAAAAGAGTACAGATAGAGGAGGAGGATGGAGATGAAGACTAAATACGGAAGGGTTTGAAGAAGCTTTGGTTGCATTGTTGATTTGGATCCACCATCTGTGAACTCTCCGCAGGATCCATTATTATTTCGACCATTTTATTTTAATGAATAGGGAGAAAAAAAAAGATAATCCCTAATAAAGCCACGCGTGCGGTGGGAATGTAGGAAAAGCCTTCCAAAACTCTCAACTCAAAGTCTGAAATTCTCACTCAGCGAGTTCCACCCTATTCTTCAGTATGGCCTTGAGAATCCATCAATGTCGTCCAAACCCACTCCTCCAACAAGTAAAGCTCCAAGCTTGGCCCCTTCCCAGCGGTAACCACTTACCCTACAACAGCAGGCCCAGAACCCAAATCCTCTGCACCAGGAACAAAAGCAGCGCTGGCGATTCCAATCTTGCCTCAGATTTTGCGATGCAAGTGTCGAGGATAAACACCAATATGGCCCAGAAAGAGGAGGCAATGAAGAAGAGCAGGGAATTGCTCTTCTGCGAGCTCTGCAAGTTCTTGGATTTGGAAGAAGACAAGGTGAAAAAGACGTGGAGCGAAATGGAATCGGAGGATAAGATGGTACTGGTTAAAGGGTTCGTGGATGTGTGGGGTGCCAATTTCCACCCTTTATCTGCTAGGTGTGTTAAGGAATTGATTGAAGAGCACATACAGGAACAGAAGGATTCGAGTTCTGAGTTATCTTCTGCTTTCTTTCCCGGGTTGAGGAGGTTGATGGGATTCGCATTCGCTACAGAATAAGCAGGCACAGAATGCTGTTTTCAGGTAACACCTTGATTTGTAATTGTACTTGAGTAACAATGGCGAATAGGACTAGGTGGAGTAGGATTTGCTACCACATTTTTTTGGCTTCCGTTGAGAAGATTGCGGTCGTAGATGCTCTGCTTCTGCAGATTGGTTCAAGTGGGTTTGGACTGTCTTGTATTAAGTTTTGAAAGACTGCAGCTTTTTTAGTGATGCCTCAACTATGCACTCAATAATTCATTGCCTTGTGGTGTCGGTAGACATCTTGAGTACGTCAAATTTCACTTTGCATAAGAATTGTATGGATCTGTCATTTGTATTCCTTGTTGTTTCCGATGGCTGTAGAATTCATTCTCCAATGTGGGAAGGTTTGGTTGCAGTCATGAATCAGGTAACTTCCTTCCAATACCTCCAAGTAACAGGCTGCTTTTTTTCCATATGGATTGCAGACAGCAGCAAATTCCATGATCGTTTAGCAGAAGAATAATGTATATGGTCTTGGTTTGGTTTGCTTTGATCTGTGAGAGACGCATGCATCAAGAAGAGAAACAAGGAGTGAAGTTATGAGTTTACACAGTTGGAGGGACTACCTGTCTGTCTATTACGAGACTTTCCTTCGTCGTTGTCGTTGTGGGTTGCCGCAGGGAACACGACAGGCAATCGGGCAAGAAGCGAATAGAAGAAGAGGAGAAACAGTTACCATTGTTAGTGGAATCTATCTGTAGCTTTGAGGAAAAGTTCCTCTGGACAGCTTTTTCAGTTAGGAGCAATCGGACATGTACATGATTAAACTCTCCTGTTCCAGGACGGTGACCTTCCGATTCCGTCATCTTCTCTGTTTGTTTCCCGCCTTCCATGGCCTGTATTGAGTCATCTTCTCATTCTGAAACTCATGCTTTTGCTTGCTAAAGGGTATTTGCGTTTATGGCATGGCACCAGTTATGACAACTCAAACCAAACAGATCCTAACAACAATATACAGACGCAGCACCTTTTAACTGCAGTTAGCCAGCCATAGAGCTTCATTTGACAATTCAAATCTGCCAAGAAAAGAAAAACAGAAACTTAATGGAGAGATGCAACTAGAGACTGATCGATTCGAACATCATGTATGAACGGGAGTACGGGACTGTGCCAGACTTGGATCAACACTAACATCTTCCCAACGGAAGATACGATGGTGTGTATAATATGTATTCGCAATCCGGGCAGATTTGTCAAGAATGCTTATATACAGCAGAAAGCAGGAGAAACCAGAAGAATAAGAAAAAAATAGTTTATTTTACCGGAGCTTGCTCCACAAAGAAGAAGCTCACTAGAAAAACAACTGCTTGCATTGCTCAAATGAAGCTTCAGCTGGACAGTTGGGGCATTTAAATGACCTGGAGCTGCTTTTAGACAGCTTCATTATAGACTGTTTGCAGAGCACATGCATGCATGGCATCAGCATTGGTGGATTTTCTTCACTGCTCTGGTCTCTGCTAACGGGGCAAACGAATATTGAATGGAACTGGAACTCCTCAGGTAGATCCACCGGCACTGGCAACTGCTTCAATGCTTGCCATTCCTGCTTCTTTGCAGACATTACATTCGCCAGCTTCAGCAGAGTAGGTAGTCCTTCAATACCAGCTGCGATAGTCACACACAAGGGGTCTCTATTATAGGACTGTCCCAGAAGCTTGTGGAAATCACGGCTCAGCTCATCACCTAAACCTTCCCAATGGGTCAGACCCAGTAGCTCGGAGTAGGGATATCTTTCCAGCTTTCCGCTCCAGAGCAGACAGACAGTGATCTTTTGGAACTCTTTCATGTAAACCCCAGAGAGAGGAGAAAGGTGAGTTTTCGCATAGTTGAGTGCGTTAAGGGTATCAACCCGGCCTCCTCCCTTAAGGATCTCCATAAACTGCATGCTATGCAGCTTCAGATCAAGCTTCGATCCAAACTGCCGAAGTTTCTCAAGGTTTTTCGAGACCCAAATCAGAGCAGGCTCAATGTTTCTAGCCTTGATGGCATCCAGTATCTTACCCAGTTCCATAAACTGAGACTTCAAGGAAATCGCCTCTGGTTTTCCAGCCTCCCGTATTAGACAATCCCCAAGATCAAACAATCCTTGCCGGTAGAAATGGCAAGCTATTATCTGATTCACTATATGGAAATCAAAATCAACACTTCTGTATGCCTTGGATATGCCAGCATTCAGTGACTTGTCTAAAAGCTTCGGGTACTTTGCAAGGGTCCCATTCACATCCTTATGCGGACCTTCTAGTTGGATCAGCGGACTCATTGTGTCGAGTTTGTGCTTTAGCTGCCTGAGGATGGCTTTCTGATCATCTGGAGGAATCAGATGGTCAACTGATTGGATTTTCTCTAGTGCTAACTCAATCTCGTGGCTGACTTGATCAATTACTTCCTGGGACTTTGATGAGGACAACTTCTGCTTCTTGGCGACACGATCAAATGCATCTCTTGCACTAGACAGTTCCATTTCTAGAGCCAAAACAGAGAACAATGGAAGAGAAATAAAAGAGAGAAGTGTGAAAATGCAATAAAAGACATTTCAGAGTCAGAGTACACAAAACACATAGATACTGAATTGAAATATGGTAATACAGCACAATCATCACAACCAATGATATGAATTAATCAGCATCTGGGCGTGCCCTACTTAACTGATTGATATTCCTACTGTATCGATCAGGCTACGCTGCAAAAAAACCTCAAGTACTTGATTTTAAAGTTCAGGTGCACCCATCGAGCAACGTTCCAACTATCCAACTGCTGACACAAGCAAGCCTCAACTCTAGCTGAAGCATATGCTGTAGAATCATTCTAAAACCTATATGTTAATCTAACTGGTTAATGCTAAACCGAATACAATACGACCAAACGAAACAAGCAATTAGCAGGGCACCAATTCGCGCCATCTAACCAAAGATATAACTAACACACACCCTAGCCAATGTCCAACTTGCTCTTCACAGGCCCGGGCATATCACCCTTCACAATGTGGTGCGAAAATAACATTTCTCTTCCCTTCATCACAAATTCAAAAGCAAGGGTGCCATTCGTCCACGACATTTATACAAACAACGACGTAAAGCATTCCACAAGACGAGCATGAATTCAATGTTTCAAACACCATAATTCGATCCCCACCCTCTTTCCCCACGATAAACTAGAAATTGGGAAGCTAGAAATTACCGACGATCTATAGAAGGCAAACAGAGATCAATACAGAATTCAGCAGGGGAACGAAACACTGAAGGAACACAAATCGGAACGGATACCGACTGCTTCCGGATTTTCGCGGAATTCTCGTAGACTCTTCCACAACGAAAGCAAAGGGAAGAAAATTCGCGGGGGAAAAGACCGTACCTGTAGTCCCCCGTTGCGCGTTGCTGCGTTTCGGGAACGGAGATACAGAGTGAGAGAGAGAGAGAGAGTCGAAGAAGCCAAGCGAGAAACGAGAGAGGGATGGAAGAACTGAAACTCTGTAGTCCGTATCGAATAAATCCAAATCCGGATTTTGAGAAGGAAAAAAAAAAGGCGAATATGGGAAAATGCTTCTCCTTTAGTGGAGGGCGAGTTTGTTACAGCTTTCTAAAAAATTACTGCAAAAATAAATTAAAATTTTAGAGAGCGGTTTGTTTTATAAATTGATACGGAGCATCCTAACTTTCATTCATTACCAGAAAGGGTTCAAAAATCCTCTGAACATCAATGTAGGATCGCTTACAAGAAAAGAATGGAAACCCAGCAGCAAATAATGTTCGTGACTAGCAAACACACTTATTACCTTCTCTATATACATAGTAAGAAAACAACCTCCCAATCGAGCCTACATAAGGCTTGGATACGATCAGTAATCGCGTTGCTACTGAGAAGCAGTTTCCAGATGATCCGCCAATCGAACTCTCTCAAGCTGCTCGTGGTTGACTACAAGGTCGTAGGCCGACCGAACCCGAAACCGGTCATCCGACTTTGGACCCCACGAGGCCATGTCCATCCCCGAGCCTTCAATAGGAGGCTGAACTCCCTGTACCTGCAAAATCAATTCTTCAAGGAGTAAAGGACACATAAGAGGGATGTCCCACTCACCCGAAGAAGAAACGAAATCCGCCATCGCACTTTGAGGATTGATTGTGGCGCGTCCTCCAGGATGTGATCAACAAGGCGCTCCCCACTGTCAATCCACCAATCGGTCCAAAAGGATGTGCTTTGACCATCCTTGACGCTCATGAGCATCCATGCCGACATGACAGGCCAGGCCTTGCGAATCCCTCTCCATAAAGTAGAAGACCGAGCGGCAGCTTTTGCCACCATATGTTCGTCACCATTTTGAAGTATTTCGCCTGAAGTACCTGCGCCCATAACTCCTCCGGGTTTTTCATAAAAAGAATTGCAAGTGTAGCCAAGAAAGCTAAATTAAGTTCACAAGCTTTCCTTAATCCAATTCCAAGATCCCATACCAGTTGAAGTCCTTCCACATCACCTCTCAACTCTGCTCGGGTAATCGAACAATCCTCAAGTTTAGTGCGAACGGTGCTGGCACGCCAATATTGTCACACTAGAAAGTGGTCAAGTGTAACCACAAACTAATGCATAGTATAGCGAGTTTAGTTTTACTTGTCAACCCGGGTCCTAGATGTGATGACTACTCCGTGAACTTCTCGTTATTCAGCAGTTTGAATGTAGTGAAGTTGTATTTAATCTAAGCAAACACAAAGCAGTAAAGTTGTGATTCAAGTTCGAGAGAGGTCACCCTGATATGGTTCCCCCTAGATTGCAGTTAAGCCAAATTGTAATTCACCAAGTTCAGATATAATGATACTTATACTGCGGAAGGTTCTTATTCAATCTGAAGTCTCGACTAAAGGTCCTGAGACCCTCCCAGTCTGAATGCCCGACGGGCGACTAACCTCCACCGGGATAAACGAACTAATGCCCTAATGTGCAAAACCTCCTCTACCCGATCAAATCTAGTACAGAGCGGAGAA